ATTTCAGAATTTGTCAAAAATACCCATTCTTGATTATTTAGAAATTCTAACCACGTATTTGTCCAATTCTGGAATAATTAAAAATCAGTTGTTGTTGTTGTTGTGTCCAATGAAGAGTCTCAGATTTCTCCATACATCTCTATCACAGCAGTCGTAATATCCTCTATCTTGGGTGTGTAAAGCTGCTGTTCTGGGTCCATGTCAATTTTCTGTTGTTGTTGTCGTGTCCAATGAAGAGCTTCAGATGTCTCCATACATCTCTATTACAGCAGCAGCAATGTCCTCTATCTTGGGTGTGTAAAGCTGTTGCTCTGGGTCCATGTCAATTTTCTGTTGTTGTTGTCGTGTCCAATGAAGAGCCTCAGATGTCTCCATACATCTCTATCACAGCAGCAGCAATGTTCACTATCTTGGGTGTGTAAAGCTGCTGTTCTGGGTCTATGTCAATTTTCTGTTGTTGTTGTCGTGTCCAATGAAGAGCCTCAGATGTCTCCATACATCTCTATCACAGCAGTCGTAATGTCCTCTATCTTGGGTGTGTAAAGCTGCTGCTCTGGGTCTATGTCAATTTTCTGTTGTTGTTGTCGTGTCCAATGAAGAGCCTCAGATGTCTCCGTACATCTCTATTACAGCAGCAGCAATGTCCACTATCTTGGGTGTGTAAAGCTGCTGTTCTGGGTCTATGTCAATTTTCTCTTGTTGTTGTTGTGTCCAATGAAGAGCCTCAGATGTCTCCGTACATCTCTATTACAGCAGCAGCAATGTCCACTATCTTGGGTGTGTAAAGCTGCTGTTCTGGGTCTATGTCAATTTTCTCTTGTTGTTGTCGTGTCCAATGAAGAGCCTCAGATGTCTCCGTACATCTCTATTACAGCAGCAGCAATGTCCACTATCTTGGGTGTGTAAAGCTGCTGCTCTGGGTCCAGGTTAATTTTCTGTTGTTGTTGTCGTGTCCAATGAAGAGCCTCAGATATATCCATACATCTCTATTACAGCAGCAGCAATGTCCACTAGCTTGGGTGTGTAAAGCTACTGCTCTGGGTCCATGTCAATTTTCTGTTGTTGTTGTCGTGTCCAATGAAGAGCCTCAGATATATCCATACATCTCTATCACAGCAGCTGCAATGTCCACTACCTTGGGTGTGTAAAGCTGCTGCTCTGGGTCCATGTCAATTTTCTGTTGTTGTTGTCGTGTCCAATGAAGAGCCTCAGATATATCCATACATCTCTATTACAGCAGCAGCAATGTCCACTATCTTGGGTGTGTAAAGCTGCTGCTCTGGGTCCATGTCAATTTTCTGTTGTTGTTGTCGTGTCCAATGAAGAGCCTCAGATGTCTCCATACATCTCTATCACAGCAGCAGCAATGTCCACTACCTTGGGTGTGTAAAGCTGCTGTTCTGGATCCATGTCAATTTTCTGTTGTTGTGTCCAATGAAGAGCCTCAGATGTCTCCATACATCTCTATTACAGCAGTCGCAATGTCCTCTATCTTGGGTGTGCAAAGCTGCTGTTCTGGGTCCATGTCAATTTTCTGTTGTTGTTGTCGTGTCCAATGAAGAACCTCAGATGTCTCCATACATCTCTATCACAGCAGCATCAATGTCCACTATCTTGGGTGTGTAAAGCTGCTGTTCTGGGTCCATGTCAATTTTCTGTTGTTGTTGTCGTGTCCAATGAAGAGCCTCAGATGTATCCATACATCTCTATTACAGCAGCAGCAATGTCCACTATCTTGGGTGTGTAAAGCTGCTGCTCTGGGTCCATGTCAATTTTCTGTTGTTGTTGTCATGTCCAAAGAAGAGCCTCAGATATATCCATACATCTCTATCACAGCAGCAGTAATGTCCACTATCTTGGGTGTGTAAAGCTGCTGCTCTGGGTCCATGTCAATTTTCTGTTGTTGTTGTTGTCGTGTCCAATGAAGATCCTCAGATGTCTCCATACATCTCTATCACAGCAGTCGTAATGTTCTCTATCTTGGGTGTGTAAAGCTGCTGTTCTGGGTCCATGTCAATTTTCTGTTGTTGTTGTTGTCGTGTCCAATGAAGATCCTCAGATGTCTTCATACATCTCTATCACAGCAGTCGTAATGTTCTCTATCTTGGGTGTGTAAAGCTGCTGTTCTGGGTCCATGTCAATTTTCTGTTGTTGTTATCGTGTCCAATGAAGAGCCTCAGATATATCCATACATCTCTATTACAGCAGCAGCAATGTCCACTATCTTGAGTGTGTAAAGCTACTGCTCTGTGTCCATGTCATTTTTTTTTTAAATCAGTGATTAGTTGATATTTTTTCCAACAAATGGCGTAAGCCATCAGCAACTTTCAGTTTCACAATCAGGAGATGTATTTTTCTTAATTTATCCAACTTTTCTCAGTACAATTTCACTTTTGTGATATTACTTCACTTTTTATATAAAGGTGTATTATCCTTTTGACGTTTCGACGATCCACTGTCACTCATAAAAAAAGATAGAAAGCCTTTTGGTGAAGTATTGTCTTATATTTTACTGGTAAGTTTCCGTCTTTATTAAAAATGGCGAAGGTGGTTTGCCGAAACGTTAAAAGAGCGATAAACGTTTATAAAAACTTTATTTTCAAAAGGGCTACTTTTGTTCATTCACAGGGAAAGGACCCTTTTTAAGTTTTCTCTTTGACTTGAGAGCTACAAATGATCCAACATGTGAATGTTATCTAGATGTTGAAACATCATCTTTTGTTGGTTTGTCCTCTAACTAACCAAATTGTACTTGCTTACTTTGACAAAATGCCATCTTTCTGTATATACTCAATCTTATGAACACTTTGGCAAGTTTAGAGCAATTTGTACACAGATTTATAATCACTACATCGTGTAAATAATTAAAGATATATGATTGTGTATGTTTTATATAGAGACAGCTCGAGTTATGCCATATATATATAGTTGATAGATAAGGCCATAAGTTAGGATGTTCCCTCTCTTAACATTTTTTTTTTAAATTACCCCTAGTACACGTGGTACAGGTCATGATAATCATGGTGGGTAGTTAGCGACTGCTTTTACTGTAAGCGCACCACATGTCTACACATGTAAAAAGCAATTCGACTTTGCATTTACAAATGTGCCAGAGCCCCGTTTGGTTACTTGCACTCGCTGGTGGGGTTGGACTTTTGCAAGAATCGGGGGCCATTGGATCATTTTTTAATTTTATTTTAATCGGAAAAAAGTGTCCAATGCGGGAATCGAAGCCGGGTCGTAGCGGTCGAAAACCAAACGATTTAACCAGCCTTCCACCGACCCCCTTCTCTCTTAAAATAAATATAATTAATTGTTCATCTCTGCATTCTGATTTGTAAAGAAAACAGCTCCCTTATGTTTAAAGCAATATTAATGAAGATAACATTCATTTGGACAAAAGAAAACCTGTCCAATATTTATAATATACTAGCGGATGTACCCGGCTTCGCCCGTGTTTTACCCGAGTAAAGGTTTGTCTAACGAATCTCTCGATAAAGTGAACATTTTTTTCCCGGTCCCTTGAAAAATACTCGATAAGTTGAATAAAATCAATATTAATCGGTACCCGAGTAAAGGTCTGTCTAACAAACATTTGTTAAAACAATTCTCTATAAACTTATAAAAAGAAACAGATATATTTTGATAATTTGAAACTGATAAAGTGATCATTTTTCCCGGTCCCTGTGTGCCGTCATTCTGAATTTTGTCTTTCCTAATTTTCTACATTACAAAATCATCGTTTTATCTAGTGAACATTTTTTCCCGGTCCCTTGAAAAATACTCGATAAGGTTGAATAAATTCATGGTCGTTTATGGAAGATGGACGAAATTCCCGGAGGTCATCTTGGGCAAGCTCCCGCGAGGCTTTTTTTCTTGTCTACTTGGCACAGCTGTGTCACCAACTCTGCCCTGATTGGTCGGTGGGTACTTGGACTGTCGGCCGGCGGCCGGACGAATCCATTCTCTCACGGGGTGGGGCAGACCTAAGCCTATCTCCGTCGCAAGGTGGCGCTGCTTGCGAGTTAAAGCTACAAATCTGCAAATAACTCTAAGGATATTAAAGATATTCAAGAAATTATTTTTCGTAAACCTTTCCGGGGATATGCCTAATAATATCCCAAAATTTCACGGCGATTGGAAGTATGGTTTTTGAATCCATAGAGGACACACACACACACACACGCGAGCGAGCGGCCACGCTTTTTCGAGCTCCGCCGTTTTCGCCTCTGGCGTGCGTGTTGATGGCGGATGGTATGTCGAATTTGGTACCAAAAGATGGCCCAGGCTCTGCTGATCAAGTGCCTGAAAGGCCCAGCAACCTGTCGCAAGCGGGCGAGAAATTAGCCCCGAAAAACGGAAATTTGAAGAATTTCAATGAAAATTCTTCAGAATCTGAAAACTATGCAAATTCGCCGGCAGGCGACATGCATGCAAATCCGGCCGCCGCGCGTGGTGACGTCACGGCGCCGAAAACTGCTGCTGCTACCAGCGCAACTCCAGCTAGCCCGGCCTCGCTCAACTGGGCCGACAGCGAGATGGCGGAGGTCGACGCCAACGAGGGTTTTACCGTTGTGAAGAGCAAGAAACGGCGCCGCACTTCAACAACGCCGGAG